CCCCAAAACCCCAAAACCCCAAAACCCCAAAACCCCAAAACCCCGTCGATAAACTCTATCATTGAATTTGCTTTATAGTTAATAAAATGGAGAAGAAGAAAATAAAAAAGTAAGTTTGAGTTTTAAAGTCCCCAATATGACCTTCTGCATAGAAATTTGCCCATCAGTTTGAGTATACGAGCTGTTACAGAGGAGGAAGAAATGTTCCCAGAGCATATAGAAGATACAGATGATATTGCAAAGGAAACTTTTGATTCCAACAAGCTCAACTTCAATGAAGGTACATTTTGTGCATATTCACACCTCCAGATATTCGAGATGTAGAGGATCAGGAACTTCTGAGTCCAATGTTCACAAATGGCTTCGACAACCTCAAGAAAGCCTTCATCTCTTGTGATAAAAATGAAGCTGAACAAAAACAGTTTTTCGAGGATTTCAAGAATAGGTAAGCAACCTTGAATAATTTCCAATAGGCTAACTGATGAAGGTGTAGTAGAAGATCACAAGAAGTTTGAAGAGATAGTCAACAGTACGCTAAAGAGTTCTCGGAAGAAGTTCTCAGTAAAGTAAGTCCACGAATGATTTACATGTCAGACCTTCTTTTCTCCAAGAATCTCTAATATTTTCTAGTAAGGCAAAGCACGCTCAGCCAGAATACAGCGATCTGAAGTTTACTCATAGAAATGTGATGAATTTTAAGTCTAAAAGTAAACAGGGCTTTAGCTTAGGATTTGCAGAATTCAAAGGAAACTTATGCAAAATTGCTTTAGAAAATCTTAATTATTGTATTCTTTTGGAGCTGGTGATTCTAGAACGAAGATGATTTAAGAAAGTTATGAGGATTTAGAGAGTTGGAGAGTGGGAGTTAGGTAAAAGATAGAAAATTTAAGGGTGAAAAGTACTAGGGTTAGCACATTCAAAATCTTGTTTACAAATTTCCACTTTCAGCTAAATTTAAAACACCTCTAAGTAGTCATAAGTAGCTTGTCTCAGACTTTATATTTCTCTATGTGCTAATACGTCTTAGAAAGAAGAATTCCTGAAGAAGAGAAAAGTACTAAGGACGACCACGTTGAGCATATACAGGAATCTATATGCACTGATCAGTCGATATCGTGATACCAATTTAATGAAAGCCATAATAGAGTGTTCGAGCACTCTATGAACCTTGACCTTGTTAACGACCTTGGACAAAGAGTTGGGGAGGTTACCGAAGATGATTTTTGTACTAACCCTGGAGAGACCATTAAGTTACCAGGAAAACATCTCAAATTTGAGTATCTGCATATACCTCATAGCTGTAAGATAGTTGGGAGACCTGGAACTGTTCTTGAAATCACAGGAGCTATCTTTATTGGAAGCTTTAAAAATCCTATGTCTTGGTGGGAAACTATTAATTCAGAAATAGAAGATCAAACAGCTGTCCACTTCTGAGAGATCAGGATTATTTTCAACCCAGAGAAGCCATATTTCGGTAAAAAGAAAGAGAAAACAGACACATATACAATACAAGAGGTTTCTGAAGGAGATTACAAAAAGAGCACCACGAGGTCACAGTACACAGCTCAGAACTACTCTGAATTTGATTCATTATTCATCATTGATTCCATGAATCCAACTTTCTTCGAGATAAGAGACTGCAACATTAATGCTGTATTAGACATCAGATGTGATTTGAACTGAGAAATTGATATCAAGCAGAAGTACTTATGCTCCACAATAGATCAGATCTGCTCTGAAGAAACTATTAATTTCATAAAACAGAAAACAGACCAGCCAGATCTAGAGTTTAACAGTGAGGAAGATATCTACGATACTCTTAACATCAGTAAATTGATGACTATTAGCTGAAAGAGGCCACCCTCGATTCGGATACATTCATGCATGATCAGGCAGAATGGAATTGATCCAGGTAAGCTAAAGCTAATGAGAGAATTATAAACAAAATGTCTAATCCTCGATAGTACCATAATACTTTATGTAGAGCTCCCATATGCAATCCCATTCTATAGTCTCTTCAAGGTGCTTCAAAACAGCAGGATCCAGCTTGAATCTTGCTGTATTGAGGAAACTCTTGGACCTTGAATCAGGCTGCACAACCCCCAAATCTTTGACTTGTTCGATACCATTATTGCAAGAGCGTATGAGTCGGGTATCTCTATCGAAATCAGTAAGGTAGCTATCCCAGAGAACTACTGAAGGTCCATAAATATCGAAAGATCCAAGATCTCCAAGAATAAAGGAAATGGGATAGAAATATACGCTAATGAATTCATTGATCAAAACCTGAAGATTACTTGCAAAGATTCCAAATTTTCTAAAAATTACCAATATGGCCTGTTCATCGCCAGGATGGCAATTGAGGACATTCAGATATCGTATGCTAAATTTCTTAATAATGGCAACACGGGGTGATATTTTAAGATCGTTCATCAAAAGTTTAATAAAAGCTGATTTTCATTACACAATTGAGATTTTGCTGACAATAGAGCAAATGGACTTCAAATTGATGATTCAGGTGTAAATTTGGATACAATAAATACTATCTGAAACTCAAAGAATGGTATTGCTCTCAATGGTACCTTCAAGCCGACTGAAATCTCAGGAGATGCTCTTAATTTTCTCTCCAAGCATGGGATGAATACGACTATGACAGAAGTTTTCACGAGTAGCAATAAATGTCATGGGATTTAAATCAAGAGCAACTGGAAAGGAACAATTTATATTGAAAACTCAAGTAGTTCCTTTAACGAACAAGATGGTATATTCCTCTACACTCCAGATCAGAAATGTAAGACTAAACCAGACAGAGAGATACAGGGGAATAAGTCTGGATTTTCCGAGTCAAAGTGTAAGAATGAATCAACAGCCATTTCCCCAAGAAATAACCTGGATGTCATGACCATGCATGGCCAAAATGACAATATGGAAAAAGCTACCTACTCAACACAAGAGATTGGTAGATTGACTGCTATAAATTTTGATTTTATTAACAATGAAAGGCACGGTCTTAATATAATAAACACTTTTTGCACAATATATCCATGCTGATTCAAAGGTAAACTTCTTGACCTAACCCTGTAGCCAACAAGTCATATGCTATTTACATTGAAAAGGAAGATGACAAGCACAAAGTCTACATACCCCCACAAGCAGGAGTGTCAATGAAGCTCTTCGGCAAAGCAGGGGGTGAATGGGGTAAAATCACTTTCAAAAGAACCACAACATGATGAATTATACAGTAATTCTTTCAATCTTTCGATAGTAAAAAGGGGTTTTGGGGTTTTGGGGTTTTGGGGTTTTGGGG